CTGGATCCGCCCTTGAACCGAAAGCGTAATATAATGCAGCAATGCAGATATAGCTGGGCAGCCAGATTGTTCACACCGCTAGACTATATTCTACATTTGAAATTGAACATTAAAGTGTAGAAAAACATTAAATGTGTTTTTAAATGCACATGTAGCCATAGCCGAGGTTGGACGACGTCTCCGTTGCATTAGGCCTACGACTGTACACAACGAGAAGTCCAACCTGAGCTAAGGCAGTCTTACAAAATTACAATAATTGCTGTCATGATGTAAAGACTTCCTAGTATCACTACAACACAGTAAATTTCAGTCATAGGTGCATTCGCGTTGGAATCAAAACCAAAAGTGCACAAACAAAAACCTTTTTGAAAACTGCAAATCAATAATTGAATAAGGTTTAAATGGTTTTTCAAACTGCAGGAATTTGCTTCAACATTTAAAAGCGAAAAGCGTACAAAAACACATTACAATAAACAGAGAAAAGCGATAGATTATGTGCAACAATTATTAAAACATAAAAAGTATAGAAACACATTTGCAAATGTACAATCAGCCGTGCAAAAACAAATTACCACATGCAAAAACAACGAACATTATAATGCGGTAAAAAAAATATATATATAGGTGCATGGACAACCAGATTTTTTTCAGACCGCGAGATAATTGTGCTACATTTTAAATTACATATAAGAGTAAAGCATTTTTTTTGCAAATGCACAAGCAGCCATACAAAATTACATTGTAACATGCAAAGAAAAACTATTCAGGCATGTATACTTCCTTTCCAAATCATAATGGTGCAATAAGATTATGTGCTTCTCTGCACAACCGCTAACATGTTTTAACGATAAAAAATATGTCATATTCTATATTATATCTTCGTAACACTACTTGTGACGACATTTTGTCTGCACTGTCATTATACAAATAATGAATGTTTGTGAGTGCAATAGTAAGAATAATTTCATGAGGTGACAGATGAAATGTTCCTTTCCACGAGGCGAAGCCGAGTGGAATGGAACATTTCATCTGTCACCGAATGAAATTATTCTTTCTATTGCACGAACGTGAAACATTCATTATTTGTTTTATGTAACAACTGAATAAATCCTCGTCATCTGATTGGATGACTTTTAAAAGCCAATTTATTCAAGTTAAAAATTGTTTACAAGTTTGACTTGTAAAATGTTCAACAGGTTGGGAACTATCATATTCAATTTATCTCAATTTAAAACCTTTCCATAAGTTTAGAACTTAAACAGTTCAATAAGTTTAGAAATTGTATTGCCAATTTAAACACCACAGCGCCACCTTCGGCAACATGTGCAGTGACAGTGCAATGGTACTTCTAATCACAGTGCAATAGTACTTTCATTGCACTGTGCACTGCGCGCCACGCGCGCGCCGTGCCTTGGTACGAATAATTCAATGACATGTGATCAACGATCCACCAATCAGATGACGGGGATTTATTCAGGTGTTGTATAATTAATGTTATAAGACTAACTTCTATCAAGAAACTTGACAAAGCTCGGGCTATTGTTCCAACAAACATGTAGCTTCCGTAGATAACAAGGCATTACAAAAAAGCATATCCATTTGTGTACTTTAGTTTAATAGGCCCTAACTGTTATTCTATGTAGAAGTTATTACTTTGAATGCATAATTTGGAATATTTTAACTGTTTGATCTTTTGGTCTGCATGTTCATTTCACAAATCATCCATTAAAGAAGATAAACAAAATAAAAATGTAAAATTTCATGATGCAATTCAATACAATTTTAACATCAATACATTTGTTAAAACGATTTCAGAGAATAGTGTCTGCTTCATGACCTGTGAAAGTACTAAACCACAGGCAACATTAGTTTAAAAAGCATTGATCCATCAGACTCAGTCCGAAAGCGTCATATCAACAGCATAGCTTCATTATTTTGTCGTGCACTTGGTCCCGTTTAAAATGTAGTCTCTTTTATCAACCAAAAACTGCTACAATTTATTTGTTATAAATATCATGTTCATCTCATGCTCTTAACGCGACAGACAATACAAAACCTTTTAGCATACACACCTCGTTTAATTTGCAAATTTCCTCTTATGGAAAGCTAACTCATGATGTAAGAATCTATATACTCTCTGCAAACAAAAAATACTTGTGCCCCTAGGATGCAGTCATAATCATTTTCTTTAACTTGCATATATTTTGCCAACAAATATAATTTAAGAGTGCGAATAAAAGCGTATAAAATGTAGTAACACAGCTATAGCTGGACAATCAGATTTTTTTTAAACCGCTGGATTGTGCTTCATTTAAAATTGAACATTAAAAGCTTAGGGCCTACATAGAAACACATTTGCAAATTCACAAGCATGCTAAATACATCGCAACATGCAAATACAAAATTAGTAAGTCATGTAGGCCTTAACTTCCTCTTTGTATAATGAATATGAGGTAAAACAGCCATTTAGGTGCACGGACAACCAAACTTTTCAAACCGCTAGAATATGCTTCATTTCAAATTAAACATTAATCTAATCTGCAAATGTACAAGCATCCGTATAAAAGCAATTGCAGTAATAATGCAAAGAATATTAATATTCAGGCTTGTAACCTTCCTTTTTATATCATTCAATTTCGTATACTAAAAAGAAAGGTGGACATCCACATTTTCAAATCGTTTGACAATGTGCTACATTTAAAATTAAACACAAGAGTAGAGAAACCCATTTGCAACTGCACAAGCAGCCAAACACAAAACATTGCATCAAACAAAGAACAATATTCAGGCATTAATACTTCCTGTTTGTATTATGATGCAATAAAACAATTAAAGGTACATGGACAAACCGCGATATAATGTGCTTCATTTGAAATTAACTTTCCTGTAGACTGTTAGTAGTAGACTTCCTCTCTGTATAAAGGATGTAAACGTAGCTTGATTATGTACTTCTTTGCATAACAACATTTGCCTTTGCGATAAACATGTCCTTTCATTATATATTTTTACATCACTACTTATGACGACAGTTTACTGTACTGTAATTTAATGTTACAGACCAACTTTAAATCTTTTAATCAAGAAATTTGACACAGCTCCAACTATTGTTTAAAAATTGTACCTTCTTTGGTGAAGAAAGCATTACAAAAAACATCCAATCGTGTACTAATTACTTCCGCCAAGGAGGTTATGTTTTCATCGGATGTGGTTATAGTTTGTTTGTTGGTTGGTTTGTCTGTTAACAAGATGACTCAAACATTTATGGCCTGATTTGCATGAAATGTTTTTAGGGGTGGACCTTGGTACAGGCACAAATCGATCAGATTTTGGAAGTGATCCAGATCTGGATCTGGATCCAGGATGTTTCTAAAGGATTCTTCACCATTTATGGGAGTAGTTCTTTTGGACTGACAAAATGGCGGGAAATTGTTTAGCCTTAGCGAAGTTTGCGCTCTACGTGTGCTTTCTAGTTTAATAGGCCCTACCTGTTATTTTATACATGGAAGTTATTACTCTAAATGAAATATTTAAGTGTTATTACTTTGAGTATTGAATTTCCTTCAACTGTTTCATCCGTGGGCCTGCATACAAATCATATATGAAAGAAGAAAAAAATAGCTTTTTTTAAAAATTAAACGATACAATTCAATACAATTCATACAATACATTAATAATACAATTTCCGGGAATACAGTGTTTGCTTCATGTGATTACTAAATAACTAGTTAACATTATTGAGGAGCAAAAATGACCCATTTGTCTCTTCCAATGTGTCATATCACAGTATAGCTTCATTTTTGGCCGTGCACTTGGTCCCGTTTACATGATTTTCTCTTGTACAGTAAAAAAACTGCTGCAATTTGTTTTTTTATTAACATAATGTTCATCTCATGCTCTCAACAAGACAGACAGTACAAAACTTTCAGCATACACGCCTCATTTAATTTGCTAGTATCTTCTTAATCGAATGTTAACACATGATTTAATAATTTCTAAATGCGGTATAGCTCTACTCTCTGCAACTCTTAACTACTTGGGCCCCTAGGATGCAGTCATGATCAATTGCTTAAACTTGCATACATTTAGCGCGAGTCGAAAAATGAAATCATTCGTTTTCGTTATCGTCATGCTCCACAACTCTTTTTGTTATCGTATAAAACACATAATAATGCAAACACTAGTCTAAAAACTGAAGTGTTGAATCGAACACTTGTATGAGTTCGGTGTGTGACCACACTTTGAATGTGTTGAGTCCAGCAGTTTAAATGTTGCATCCAACATTTTAAATGATAACTCAAATTTTAGTGTTAATCAAACATTTGTCGAAGTTTTAACTTTGAAAGTGTTGGATCAACATGTAAACTGTTGAATGAACTGCCCAAGTGATGGAATTAACATTTTAAATGCTGGAGTAAACACTTTCAGTATGGTCACTGACCGAACTCATGCAAGTGTAGGATTAAACGCTTCAGTTTTTAGAGTGATATAACAAAACAAGATTACTCAAACAGGTTTGGACTTTAAACTCCTTATTCTACTCGATCCCGATTCCAGAGGAGTATTCATATAAGAGTAAAAAGTTCCCAACAGAACACCCCAGCGGAACTGAACTTGAATTAATGTTTCTGTAATTGTTTAACATTAAGAATATAGACCATGTTACCTGTGACGTCATACCAACAAAGATTATGTCATCACTTTTACACCCACCACGTTTTCAACAGATATGTCTATACACACGCATATAGTGCAAACGAGAATGATTTGCTGAAAGTTGGAATCATGTCACCACAACATCCAAATTTGTATGTATGTGTAACAGGGTCTATAGTATAAAGTATGCTGTACAATAGTGATCATTGTTACTACCCAGGATTAAATAAAACATCTTGGAGATTAAACAAGTTGGGGAATGACTATACAGCTTAGACCTGCAACCAAATTTCGATTACCAGTAGACGGTTGGACAGTGGTTTCCAATCTGTATTTTTGTCCATGGTTCAACCATCCTGTTGTGCTTCTTTGCAGCTGTTGAATTGCTCTTTGTTTGCAGAGTCCTTAACTTCTGGTGATGGAGCATCTATAACACAGAATGAGGATTATAAAGGCAACAAGGTTATACTCATATTAATTGAGAACATGTTAGAGTTGACAGGAAGAATTTTTGAATGAAGCTAGCATGCAGCTGACTACCCCCAGACATATACATTTGTAATACGTACAGTCAATAACGAACTCGGCCAAAGCGGGTAGCTTGACTTCCTCCAGCTGTTCAGCCAGTTTACATTTCCAGTCGTTTCCGTTGACCACGCACCGCTTCCTCCAAAGTACAAGCATGGTGACGATCTGCTTCTCGACCTGTTCTACATTATTCCTCTTGATCCTGTATACCTCGTCAGATGAGATCTTCAGAAACGCGGCTAACTTTTCCCACTCCGGACCCAGTTTTTCAGCCAGTTGCCAGAATAACTTCTCGTCAGCTGTGATGTTCAGAAACGCAGCACAGGCAAAAAGTTAAATTCATGGTATTATTACCCAAGTGATGTGTTAAAGATTAAAGAAACTGGATTTACCCCACCACTGTGTAACATTATTCTTTCATTGTACACGTCGAAGAGTAGAATTTACCACGACATTAATAAAATGTTACCACTGTGTGGGGTAAAATGACGCACGTGACAGCGTTTACCCAATATTGTGCACGCGTCATCACTCATGTACAAGATGGCCGCCGCTTGTGAGACCTTCAACAATTTGGGGATTTTGAAGACGTGATTTCTTTGTTCCAGGTGAGTCAGTGAAATGAATTTCAGTGTTGTTTCCTCCAAATGCGATGCCGATGTATGAGGATTAATATCGGGGAGATTGGAGAAGTGCCGTGCTTATTATTTAGACATTTATTTGCAACTTGGACGTCACGGCTCTGCCAACCGCGATTCCATGCACATGGTTCATGCGTTTCATGTACCGTATAGTGAGTGTTCTCAGATGTAGAAACACGGAATAAAGTGACCGGCATTTGGGGAATTGTTTTTGAATCAGTTGATTGAGAGAAATTCTAGCACCCCTGCCCACCATTTAGCCCACGCTCCTCGTAATAGTCCGCATGCATAAGCACCATATTGGAGGAAATATCATCATTCATTTTACTGACTTTCCAACCCAGGACTCAGTTATCCCTCGCGATTGCTGTCTCAAGCATGCAGTTCACATTGCAGAGCTCAAAGTTGAATAAAACCGCAAGGATCAATAACAAAGGTACACAACAAATAATTTAAAAACAACCCAAGTGATGGGTAAAGTTAGAACCCAACAGTGCAGGGTAAAAATTAGAACCCAATATCTGGGTAAGAAACGGACACAACACTTGGGTAAAAGGAGGGTTGGGTAAAGTTTACCCAATAATTGAGTAAAAAGGGAACATGGTCGTCACATGGGTAAATCTTCTTACCCAACTTTGTTGTGCAAACACGTAACACAATTATGGGTAAAAGTTACACTGAAATGGGTACATTTCTACACTTAAGCTGTTGTGTAAAAAAAACTACACAAGTTGACGACCATGTTCCCTTTTTACTCTCGAAAAGGTAGTAATTTTACCCAATATTGAGCACATCTACAGAGTGTACGTCTACAAATTGCTGATTAAATATGTATTATAGGTGTTAGTATTAACCAACGTACAGGGGCGGATCTAGCTTTCAGCAAAGGGGGGGGGTTGAGTCTAAGGCAATTCAAGAATACATTTAGAAACTTTAGCATTCTAATTGTTATAGATGCGCTTCTGGATGCAGTAAAATGAACTTACAGGTCTCAATCTGTATATGAATAAAATTAATTAAAGGTGAATGCTTTCTTCATACACTCTGAATCTATAAAAAAAAAAAGGAAACGGATACAAACAAAGAGGTGATAATATCACCAGGTATTGAAGGAGAATCAAACTCGGTTAGGCTAGATGAAATTATTTTCACTCTTCCGCTCTTGAAATAGGAGTGTTATATAATATTTCTTATTCTAAGAATAACATCGTATTAAAAAGAATAATGAAGCTGTGGCCAGCAACTAACCTAATTGCGTATTCTGTTCAGCCTGCACAATTTGAACGGCTTCTTTCATATCAAGACGATTGAAAACCTCGAGAAGACTCCCAACCGCATCTTGATTGGGAACGCCATCCTCTCGCTTGCACGAGAAGTATAACTTCAATACTTCTATAACTGGATTAGCCATTCCTCGGCGAAGCGAATCAATCAACTTGGTTCCCAGGCCGAATATCTCTTCAGCAAGACGTATCCAGTTGCATCTGCCGTCACTTTCATCTTTCAGCAAGCGTAAAAGCTCCATCACTGTTTTCTTGGATAGACCACCGAAACCTCCATCCGTCTCTTTACCAGTGTTCTTTGTTAAAGCCTCTTTTAGTTTTACCTTCATTGTCACGGAAATTGAACGAATTGGTAAAGCAGTTTGAAAAATCAATCGCAAGGTTGCATTTTCCAATAACGACACAATTAAGTCAACATTCTCAAACGCTAATAACCACTTACCCTGCAGGTAGTGCAGATTCCGTCATTCGAAGGTGGGTTCTATAAAAATGCAAGGACAAAAACAAGAGCTTATGAGAACTTTTTTAAAAAAATATCTTTAATTATATAATGCACATAACAAGCCCCATGTTTAATGGGTCTCTTTGCTAGAGAAGTGGCTATACAAAACATTACTTTGTGGCAAATCCGACAGGTGTCTTCTACAGGACGCTTAGTGTCAGGGAATACCGTTGGTAGTGAACATTTTCCCTGTGGGAAAAAATAATGACAGCAAAATACCGAATTATATCAATATATAAATACAAATAAAGGACATTCTTGTACTTCCGACCAGTGAATGTGGGTTATCTCGTATTATTGTTTGCAGCAAAAATTGCAGTCATGAGAAAAAATAAAGGAAATTGGTGGCGCAAAATTAATGAAACAGTCGATTCTGTGACGTCGGCATACATAGTTGTGCCGTTAAAAGTGCTGTAACGCTTACTCTTTGATTCGTTGTTCATTTAAATTTATGCCAATTTGGTTTCATGAGACCCCAAATTCGACTGCTAAAACGTACTTCCTTTGGTCTAACTGAGAGACGAGCTTTGTGTCCCTCCGAACTCGATTTGGTCGAATCAGCTTTAAGTTGGTAAACAAAGCCATCGCATCCAGGTAGTGATTTGTCGGACTGGTTTGAACCACTCGCTGTCGCTCCATGGTTGGTCTCCCGCATGAGGTCAAAGGTCACAGAGTTTGTAGGAAACTTCCATACAGCTGTCTTCGGGATTTTCTGTTCCTGAAAGTTAATTTAGCTCAGCTTAATTGAAATATCCCTGACACGCAATGACGCGAAATTTTACCCAATTTGCTTTCTGAGATCTAAAACGGGGACACTCTCTCGACCCCCAACTGGCTTTCATTTATAACAAAGCGTCACGTCATGACGTTTCAGACCGAGTAGACCTATCTTGACTTTCCATTCCCTGGATGTGACACTATTTTAGCATTGACATACGTTTACGCTAAACACGGCCTGTGTATTATTACAGAAAACCGATTCCATCTGCAAAACATCACTTTTGTCACGACAAGCACTAACTTTCCTGAACAATGATGACGTTTTCTGTCAAAATGTTGGGCTCTCTGATTTGTTTATGAGAGAGTAGTTAATGTGCCTAGGTTTATGAGTATTCAGTGAAATTTGAAGTGACAATAAGTTCTTGCTTAGTTGTTGAGCATAAACAATTGAATTAAATGTTCGAAGCAAAATCGAATCGAAGCATGATCCAGAACTAAAATGCTACCTTTGATGTCTTTTCTTCTATTTCCCAGCCAGTCTTAATGTTGTCAATGGTAGCGATCACATCTCCCTGGTTGTAAAAGACTTCCAAGTTCCTGTATGCGTCCAGTGACTTACAGCCCATGTCGTTTTCCATGTCAATGACCTTCTGTTTGTGGTCAAAATTACACGCTATAAAATTACAAACGACTTATCAGCGAAGGTACAAATGTATACGAAAATATCAGAGAAATTTAATCACTGTCTTGGCATGAGGACATTTATCACTTTCTTGCATGGCACGAGGTTTGTGGATCAGCCAACACATTCTTTATTATTGTTAAAAATGCATGTCTTATGTTTAAAGTGAATGATATATTTTAGATGCTGTGTTCAACTTGCCGAATACATCTCTTAAATAACTGAACCAAAACCAAAACTTAAAACCGAAGACTAAGAGAAAGCAATTGCATATAGTCCGTGGGACGAGGCCTTTTTTCGCTCGGCACGCGGTCTGGTTCGCCGAATTTTATAAAACTTCACAGACATGTAGATTATGGTGTACCATGTCGAAAAAACTTTGTTTCCCGGTCCACAGTTTGTTTTAGAATGAGAAAATCTGGGATAAAAACGCCGAAAATTCTACATGAGAAAAAATATAAGAAACAGCGCCCTCTATTGATAGTCAGAAACCTTTTCTCACGCAATGGCCGTCCAAGTTCGGGCGGTCTGTTTTTGACGCGAGTATTTTTATTGTTCTCGCGTGGGAACACGACCAACGAACACTGCACTCGGAACAGGATTTCACACCACCTACCCGTCAGGGTTTGCAAAAATGATATACCCGTGTCAATATCAAGACCCGCCCAAACTTGGCCAATGAGTGCTCGCTAGTTGCTAGATGATACTTCTTTCATATTATATTCTAGATTTTTTTGTTATTTCTCATCATGATGCTAAAATATCTTCGTTACAGTTTTGTCGAACATGAAATGATCAACTTTTAAATTTAAAATCGAATGTTATGTATTAGCTACAGATACATAGATTGGTAAGATTAAACCCGAGATCAGAATAATTTTGTGATCTCTTATCTCAGGGTAACATATTTTAAATAATAATATAAGTACACGCGCAGCATCTGGTGGAGCATCTGAACTTCTGAAACATCTTTTCAAAATGTTTCGCGTGAAATAAAAAAAAAAAGAAACTAATACAAATTTGATGCAGCCTCAAAAGAGGAAGCAGGTGGGCCGTTGGGGTTTATTGGTGGTTCTCACGGAATGGATGGAGCAACAACAAAACATGAATCGGTTCTTAAAACAATATTCAAAATAATAAAAACGGTAAGACGGTTTCGGCTGAAATAAATTGCAGTTGTAATGCTGCCACTCAAAGATTCCGACAAGTGGAATATAAACTATTTTTTCTTCTTAAAAAAATTTTCAAACAGAAAGTGGGTCCTTCGATTTGATGAGACTTTCGATGCATGTTACAACAATTATGTAATCGGCCTGTGATGTATACAGGTGCTTAGCTCGTACTGTCAGTTGAACATAAAAATAAATAAATAAATAAATAAATAAATGAAATAAAACTATATTATATTAAATAAATTTGTATTTCTTTTGGTGTTGACTTTGCACCTGGAATATCGATTAACCATGCGATTCTCATCTGCAGTACGGTTTAACTGTAGTTAATGTAGTTAATAACATTCGATCTTAAAACTTGATCATTTCAAGTTGGACAAACTGTAATGAAAAGGTTTTGACATCCTGATGAGAAATAATGATGAGAAAAAATATAGAATATGCTCGTAATATGAAGCTTGAAAGAAGTATGATCTGGCAAGCACTCCTTGCGTTTTGTCCTGTTTGCAGGGCGGGGGGGGGGGTACTCTTGCAGAATTTTCGGAGTTTTTATCCAAGATTTTCTCATTCCCAAACAAACTGTGGATCGGGGAAATTTTTTTTTCTCGATATGGTACATTATAGTCTACATGTCTGGAAAGTCTTATAAACTTCGGCGGACCAGATCGCCTATCTCGAAAACTAAAGCGTTTTCAGCCTCTCGTCCCACGGACTAATATAGTTATACCTTCTCGGCAACTGGATCATTGTTCCAAACGTGAATCCGTACAGCATAACGTGCATCGGACGGATCATAGAAGCTTCCAAATGCACCAGTCTTCATCGGCTTAGCACTCTCCTCACACGCTACGCCTCCCGCTACGAAACGCGTGAAATGCTTCAAGAGAAGAACGACCTTGTTGTCACGCGAAAGAACCATCGTGCCATCCTTCTCGGCATCTAGTGCCTGCCAGATTGTAGGGGTAGTTTCATCACTATGACACATACGAGTACTGAGCTCCCACTCGTTGTTAGCGTGGTGGGGAAAGGAAACCACCACGCTGTCTAAGAACTTCAGACCTGTAGGGCCGCACTGGATCATCGGTGACAGAGCGACATAGGGAGGATTTACTCCATCAACAGGTGGCGCACTTGGGTCGACAAAAATGTACACCTAATAATCAGAATAAAACCGAGTCCAGAATAGGTGGATTTTTAGAGATAAAACCACATCTCGGGTACGAGATGTCGAATGCCTCGCGATAGTTTATATAAGAGTTCACGTCGAGTGGTTCGAGCTCATGTCCATTTTCATCAATTATTTGGTTGCGATAAGTTTAAAGAAAGGGAAAGTTTGAGAACGTAAGAGTCTTCCATCCGCACAGCGTGAAAATTATTCAAGTATGCTGAAAAAATACGCTTCTTGACAACCCGGGTTCACTGGAGTCTTCATGTAAGAAATGAAATAATTTTAAGATATCTTGGAATTTATATCAACATATCTTCAAACGTACGTATTTAGAGATAGCGTGATTTTTTTTTCTGAGCGATATCTTAAAATGAATTTCGAGATATCTTGAAATGATCCTTGTAATATCGTAAAACGAATAAGAGACACCTTGCAATGATTTGAGAAATATATGGAAAACATGTAAGTATATCTAGAAACGGATTATAGATATCTCAAGACGGATAAAAATTATGTCCAAATAATCCCTCGAAATAATTCCTCAGGAACTTTTATGCGTTTCAAAGATATCTTTTAATAATATGAGATAATTATCTTGAAACAGTTAGAGAGACACCCGGAAGTACTTTTTGCATTCAGCAACGAAATAAAGTGTTGAAAAGCCCATACCAGTTGCGGGGAGTCTTTGGCAAGTGCACCCCTTGGGATGTACATGTGGACCCTGTACTTTTCCAGAGTGAGACTTCCACCTCTGTCATTGATGTATGTGATCGCGATGTATGGCAACTTGAAGGTTTTTTGGAGTAGCTCATCTTCGGTGAGAGCCGCTGTCATTTTACGAAACTCTTCCAGCAGTGTCAGCAAAAGGTTCCGTTTAGAAGAGGTTCCTGGGAGAAACGGGCATGTAACGATGAATTTTTAAAAGCAGTTTCAAATCGAACTTTGTCAGGCTCTGGTTGAATAAAATTACAAAGCAATAAAGAGTTACCTTTGTCTTCATTTGTCGCAGCTCTTGAAACTGGCTCACGTTGTCTGCTTATCGATGTTGTAGGCCTAAACAAGAGCCAATGCAAACCCCACAAGACCGAGGTCAAGGCCGAGACCACAACCTCCGAGACCGAGGTCACAACCGCCGAGGCCAAAGCCGAGGCCGAGGTCATCTATTAAAACACGTAATAAAACATAAATCACTCAAACAGGGCCAAGACTTTGTTGGATTTTTTAATATCTGTTAATTTGAGTGCACTAAGTTTTGGAGTGTCTGGCTTACAAAGCTTGCCATGTGTTTCCTCTTGCAACGATCTTCAAAATTCTTCGTGGCCATTGCAACAAATTAAATCGGATGATCCGAGAATTCGTGGTCATTTTGATGAACTGATCGAGTGATATCATGCACGCACGTGGAAAGCTGTAGCGCTGGATACATATAGATCGACAGGTTTATTAAAAAAAATCATCGTGGCGGCACATGCTGAATTAAAATGACAATACAGCGTTAAACCATTAGAAACAAAAAATCAATGAATACGAAATAACCACAAAAATGCAATAAGCTTAGATAGACAGGTTGAGCGTGCATGCGAATAACGGGTTGGTTCCCTGTCCCAATATCGCTTTGGCGAATGCAAATTTGTGACGTTCACTGGGCCGAGTGTAGCATGAAATTTCCAGCGCTCTGGTTAATGACGTCCTTGACGTTATATGGGGAGATTCGCCAGTAACACTGGAACGAAGCCACTTACTTTTAGAGAGAGGTTTTTGCTTTTTTTGGCCGATGTTGTCAATTTCCGTTCAAATTACAAGCACAATGTCACATATGACAGTTGATGCATATATCCTTTATGCAGCAGAGGATCCATGCAAAATGAGAAAAGGATCAAGTCGAACAAAATCAGAATAGATATTTTTGGTGCAACTCAGGGTGTGTACAAAAGAAACCCCGTTCATTAAGTACACACGTGCCGTGCGCGATTTTTTTTCCCGTAGGCGACAGAAAGACAGTCAATAAAAATGAACAGCGACGACGTGGATTCGAACCAGGGATCTTTGTATCCATATAGCTCATCACGCTGTGGTAGCTCGACGAAGTCCGAACTTTAAAAGGTAACTGGTTGACAAAATAAAACAAATGCTCTTAATATCATTGTTCTGTCCCGATCGAAACTATTGAATTATTCATGACTTCCGAGCATTCCGCCTACGGAAAAGAAATTCGCGTGCCGCGCCTGCGCTATGGCCGTACCATATGCGGGAACAAAATCGCATCCGAGGATCATTATTCAGAACAGCCAATCACAGGGTGCCTCGATTATTAACATTGAGTAGGACGTCCAACAGCCCGTGGTCTTCGAATTGTACTGTGTGTGTATGTAGAATGTAATACTGACCCGGCGGCAGTTACATGTCCTACTCAGCATAAATAATCGAGGCGCCTATGCTTGGTGCCAAGTCGGTGAGAGTTTGTACTTTGTGTTTTGTAACATTACAAAATTCATTATAGGGCATACACGTTTCAAATAAATTAGGTATATCACATTGATACATATTATTTCTATACATAATTGACCAAGCTGAGTAGATTGGTCGTTATCATGTTGCCATATCTGCAAACATTTCCCTGCTGACGTTTTGAGAAGAACTCAAAACGGAATGAGTAAGTCTTCATTTGCACAGCGGTGCGCGTGAACGTAATCGTCAAGTTGTTAGATTTGCAAATGATTTGTCTCAACCCGGCCGATTACGTACTAGTCTTATACCAGCCGCGCCGATTGAGTTCGACTGACGTTCACGGACAAAATTTGTTCCTGCATTATGATACGGGCTATAACGCAGTCTAGGCGAAGATGCTACGTACGTGAGTACGTTCAATGCAACGCATTACCAGTTCATTTATTCGTGCGTATCTGCTCACTGTGGCCTACAGTTTGAAACGGTAACATATTAAATTTAATTGGAACAGAAAACACATCAAAGTGGGCGATTTGTCGAGGCCGGAAGGCTCCGAGACCGTGGTCGAGGCCATGAAAGGCCGGCCCGAGTCCTCCAACACTGCTGCTCATATTCAACTGGGGCAAACAGAAACGACTTTTTTGTTATAGATAAAAGTGGTGCACAGGATATGGATGTGACAACGAAGTCATCTGCCGCTAATGTCTAACAAGCTGATCATGATCGGGTAGGGTGTTTTTGTCTTGGGGTTGAAAATGTGGGGAGTAATGTACATGGGGGTTTAATTGAGAAGACATGCAGTAATAGAAAACAAAAGATACAAAGTAAGAAAGTAATAGCCTTATTATCAGGCTATTTTATCAATATCAGTAATGCAAATTCAATTCAACTCAATTTAAGGCTTTGATGAGAAGTGTAAATATATCTGGGAAGATATGTGTCGGAAGAGTGTCTGGTGTTAAAAATGAAATCTCAAGAAATAAAATACATTTAAAGCAGCCTTCTCATAGAAATAAACTGGACACACATGAAAATGATAATTATGTGCCACGGCACTGTACGGTAAATTTTCCCGTTGGTCTGTGAATTATCATTTTTTGAGGCAGTCGCATTTGCGAGAAAATGTAGTTGAAATATAACCGTACACAGGCAAAGGCTGACTGTACAGTTTTGACAATACATGCAACAAAATGTGAAGGTGCACTGCACAGGGCGTGTAATTTGCTATGAAAATGTTCAATGTACCATAAAATAACAAAATCTGAATCATGGCTTTTCTCCATGATTCATATTTTGTTATTGTGTAATGCTTGAAGACATTTCTGTCATTTTTCGGCTATATGTAACCTAAGGTCTGATAGAATAAAAACGACTATTGTGTCTGTCATGAAATGAATACAAAAGGTACTTTTGAGAGCTAATTTTCAGGTCTTGTTTCGGCCCGAACGTGCAATTTGTGTAAAAATTCGTCGTTGGGGGCAGCAAACAAAACATAGTAAAATCGAGACTTAATAAACATGACTCCCGATGCAGCGAAGTTCCAGCGAAACTTTTTGCAAAAAGAAATCACTCCGCGCAACATTTTGTTGGGCAGCCACATGCTTCATAGATTCAACTGTAGTTGGCAACAGTTTTTACCCCTGAACTTCTAATGGACAAGTTCAGAATTTAAAAAGGAGGTATCTCCATTGACTTTTTGGTAGTTTCTAATGATTATTCAGTATTTTGATAGTACACAGCATTTTATTATAGATTGTGGATTATTCTTTTGTGTTTGCCCTAACGACTAACCATAGTAAGAAACGTATGATACATCAACATAGTTCACGCACGCTATGTTTTTGAGCATGTCAAGCTGGAAATTCACGGGGGTACTTAAGCCTCTGGCCGGCCACAAAAACCGTAAATTGTGACGCCGGTAATAACGAATTAATAATCCGTAATACCGAATTAAATAATCCGTAATAACGAATTAAATAATCCGAAATAACGAATTAAGTAATCCGTAATAACGAATTAATAATCCGAATTAAATAATCCGTATTAACGAATTAGTAACATAAACTTGCAGTGGCGCTAATGGGCTTTTGTAGAAAGCTGCAAGCGCTGATGCAGTAATGTTTATTTAGGCACTCACTTCAGAAGTTCATGTAGTCGGCAAAATTCGTCATGAGTGGCAGCAATTACAATAAAAGACATACACACAATAATTACATGTTTCACCTACCGCTGTGTAGGACTTAGGGATGACAAAGTCAGAATCATTGTCTCAAGCGAGTTGCGCCTTGTCGTGGTGGAGACCCCTGTGCGTTCCCGTGACCCGGAGAGCTATGTCGGCTTGGGGCCATGTCCCCCTGGCAGCTCCAAGCAAGCTGGACAGGTCGAAGGGTAGGAACCAGACCAATTGCAACTCAAAATGTCTTCTTGGCAGCAGGAGGAGACAATCCATCTGGGCAGACGTCTATTGTATCAGGCTTTCTGGCCCAAGTGGGCCAACTGGCAGGCGGCAGAACCTCGGTCAACGGCTGGCAGTTTCCAGGCATAGTCAGTTTGCCACTGCGGGGCAGCCCATCATCCTTCTAGTCGTCCTGCTTCGGCAGTCCACTAGGGTTATGTATGACTGGGCCCAGAGGAGTGTGTCTGACCTGGGCAACCATTCACTCTCCATCCCTTGCCTCGGCGCACGACGTTACGTGCAAATCATGGAATGGAATCTCAACGATGTATATAGCGACTGGCAATATGGCAGCCCGCTACAAGGAGGGCTGTCAATGCCCGGCAGAGTGGGTGGGTGTTCCAGGCAGGCACCGCTCGGTCGACATCCTGCTACTGCCTACATTAACTTTGGTTCTTGGAACGTCCGCTCTTTGGGTGTCTCCTCTGACCGTTGTGTTCCTACCCCCCGCAAGTCCGCCATCATTGACCTGGAATTGGCCCGTCTCAATGTGGACATTGCAGCTCTTAGTGAAACATGTGTGACCGGCCAGACTTAAATTCCTGTAATTATGCTGCCAGGTCCCGTCTGTAAAATATTTCTTTGTCGATGTCTTATATTTTTAGCATAAACAGCGATGCGAAAGTTGTCGAAGCATTGCGAGCGCCCTCTTGTGTTTTCCGTTGAATAGAGCATACCGAGTTGTGTAACAATTTGCATATGACATGCAGTGCGAAAAAGCCTTTTATTCCGTGCAGCGTCTCAAAAGCATAGGGCTTCAGACTCACATTCCGTGAATTTTTTCGCTACTTTTCTTGGAGAGTAAGCAAGCATGGGTAGGTCACTTGACTGCTTGTCGTTGCTGCTGCCAGCCACACCTTATTACGAGCCAGCTTGTCTATATTTTGCTGTGTTTCTCACGTGGTTTTGCCATGGTTAGCACGCCGCATGTGCATACACAATATCGTGTACATGCATATCGTGTAGTTTGCCCAAACATCCCGAGGCATAGGTACACAGGCCGCAACTGCTCCGGTATTTGTTTCAACTTCGTAATTTTTGATGTTATCATAAATAGCACTTTACGACACATTTTTATGCCATGAATACTCGAGGTTGGAAGCCAAGTCTGTATGAAACATTTTTATGCCATGAAATAAATATCCCAGGTTGAAAGCCAAGTCTATATGAAAATTGTGCATAAGATGACTTGAATTTTCGATACCGAACCTCCTGGTAATATTGACTGTATACTTGCACATACTTCGATCCTAAATACATGTTTCCTGTATGTTGAATTATAGGGTCAATGCACTTTATTGAACTCAAATTTGGATAGCGTGGATGGAAAGAGAAATAAGAGAATGTTCTAGCCTGAAATGAAACACATGAGACATATAGATGGATGTACGAATACAGAATATTGAATACTCTTTTTATGAGCATTGCTGTTTAAACAAACAAATGTTAAGAAATAGATGTACGGTATAAAATGCATTATAAATTCATCAATATAGAATACGTACGGATGTGTACACATGTACTGTGGAGATGAAACTTTTTGATGGCACTGATGATTATTTAATATTCCTTCATCAAAATATTTATTAATATTTATGAGATTACTTAATACGTACAGTAATTTTATTACAGCTACTGCTTGTGGTTCTGTGGTTCCTGATGGTCACAAATAGAGAAGCCTTCTCGAGTAGACCAGTGTATCCCTTATCCAGCATCCATAATATTTGGGTACGTGTATAAAACATTATTGCTTGAAATGTGCCTAAGAAATTGGAGATTTAGAGATTTGGAGATTAATGTGTTGTAAAATCATTGCATAGCAAGTGCTTATGGAGATTATTTCTCCTTGATTAAATTTTTATGCCTTTCATATTTTTATGCCATTAATGTACTTGTAAATTCGCAGCAAAAACATTTCTATGGAACAAATCAATGGAAATTGAGGTTTATAGAGCCAGTAAAGCAATTTCTCATGATAAGAGATAACCAAGGATAAGGAGAGATGGTTATTTCAAATAATTAAATAATTGAATATAGGATTCATAGTCATTGTATATTTGTAAATAAATTAATTTCTATTCTTCTGTTTTCTGTTATTACAGACTGCTGAAGAATGACTGTCGTTTTTTTGTAATAATAAAATTTTGATCAATTTATAGTGGAATATATACCCAGTGTCACTTTCAAATTTTTTTGCGTAACCTTTCCAGCTCGGTTACACATGGCTAACTGGTATTGGATCTGTCTGCGAGGAGAGCTACACCCTGTACTGGCATGGCTATCCAGATGGGGAGAGACCTCATCATGGCGTTGGTTTTGCTATCCGTAACTCTTTCACAGTTTCACCCAGGCTTATGACTGCAAAGCTTCAACTGTACAACTTCCAGTTCAAAATTATTAGCTGCTATGCCCTAACCCTGTGCTTATCCTCTAAGGAGAAAGACTCATTCTATGCCGTGCTGGAAGCCTTGATCAAAGACACATCGGCGGGCGATTGCATGGTGTTGCTTGGAGACTTCAATGCCTGGACAGGGTTTAACTACACTGCCTGGGAAGATGTCCTTGGCCCCCACGGCATTGGAAAAATGAACGAAAATGGTCAGAGACTGCTTGAGCTGTGCGCTCGTCACAACATCTGCATACCCTCATCCTTCTTCAATGGTTCGGAAAGGGCAAAGGTCACCTGGAAGCACCCGAGATCTGGCCACTGGCACCAGCTGGACCACATACTTGTGAGGCAGTCTGCACTTCCACAGGTGACCAACTGTCGCAGCCTACTCTCAGCAGATTGTGACTCGGACCATGCCCTGGTCCGCTGCCGACTCAGAGTAAAGAAGAAAGGAATGCACCATGCCAAGCCACCTCCACCACCGCGCCCGGACCTCTCCAACCTGGCTGATATGGATCGCCGTGTACAGCTCCAATCTAACATCTCACAAGGTTTAGCTGAGAAGACGCCATCACATGACCCAACCGAGTGCTGGGAATCCCTCAAGCATGTCATCAGATCTTCTGCCATGAAATCACTTGGGAAGCAAGTGCGGAAACAGCCGGACTGGTTTCGCTACAGTGCTGATGTGCTCCTTCCTGCTATTGCGTCCAAGCGCAGTACCCGACTGGCATTCCTTAACAAGCCTTCTCCCAGGAACAGAGCCTCTTATCAGTCTGCTAAGGCTGGAGTTCAGCGCTGCACAAGACAAACCCTGCATCGCTACTGGCTTAACCTGAGTGAGCGTATCTTCAGGTGCTCTGATGCAGGGAATCTGCATGGAATGTACAGAGGCATCAAGGAAGCACTGGGGCCTGTCCCAAAGAAGACGGCTCCACTGCGTGCATCTGATGGTACACTTCTAACCGACATGCAGGCACAACTAGACCGTTGGGTCGAACATTACAGCTCCTTGTATGGCACTCCAGTAAATGCTAATCTAACAGCCATCGCAATGGCAATTCCACAGTTGCCTGCAAAACTCGAGCTGGACCGGGAAATCACCGCCATCGAGGTGAAGCAAGCGATTGGTGCATTACAGAATGGTAGATGGGATTCCACCAGAACTTCTCAAGCATGGCGGTGATGATCTGACAAAGGAACTGCTGCGCCTCTTCCGTACATGCTGGCACACCCGTACATTGCCAGATGAACTCCGGGACGCAAGCATAACTACACTGTACAAGAATAAGGGCGACCGTCATGACTGTAATAGCTACAGGGGCATTTCCTTGCTGAGCACAGTCGGCAAAGTGCTTGCCCATGTCATCTTACCACGCCTCCGCTGTCTTGCTGATCAAATATTACCAGAGAGTCAGGCCGGTTTTAGACCAAACCGCTCCACACTGGACATGATTTTCTCTTTTCGTCAACTGCAAAAGAAATGCGTCGAACAGCGACGCCCCCTCTACACTGTCTTTGTGGACCTGACTAAAGCATTCGACTACGTGAGCTGCACAGGCTTATTTGCAGTCTTGGAGCGCTTGGGATGTCCACCAACTTTACTGGCTATCATCGGAGCTCTCCATGATGGAATGCAGGCCGCTGTTCAGTATGACAGGTCGGTGTCTCACGGCTTCAGTGTAAATTGTGGAGTGAAGCAGGGTTGTGTTTTGTCTCCTACGCTGTTTGGGATCTACTTCTCTGTCTTGCTCCGCAGCGCTTTTCCTACATCAAGCGGGATCATGCTCCACACTCGATCCACAGGAGGTCTGTTCAATCTCTCCCGCCTGCGTGCAGGAACGAAGGTCTCCAAAGTCATGGTACGTGAGCTCCTCTATGCTGATGATGCCGCTTTTGTTGCGCATTCTCAGGAAGACCTGCAGCAACTTGGTGATGCTTTTGCCCGCTCATGCCAGGACTTTGGCATGAAGATCAGCATTCGCAAGACTGTTGTGCTTGGCACTAACATCCAGGAATCACCAGTCATCACACTCCAAGAAACTTCACTACAGACGGTCACCAAGTTCACATATCTTGGTTCCACTGTGACTTCGAACAACTCTCTGGAGGAAGAACTCGGCAAAGCTGCAACAATATTTGGACGCCTGCGTAAACGTGTGTCTGACAACAACCGTCTCCCTCTACCTTTGAAGATCATGGTATACGAAACATGTATACTAAGCATCCTCCTGTATGGCTCAGAGGGATGGACAGCATACAGACGTCAGGAACGCCGCTTGAATGCATTCCATCTGCGTTGTCTGCGATCAATCCTTGGACTCACTTGGCGGGACCGTGTCCCTAACACTGAGATCCTGTGGAGGACGGAGTGCCTTGACATGCGCACATTGCTTCAGAAACGTAGGCTGCGCTGGATAGGCCATGTCATACGGATGGACGATGCCTGCCTACCAAAATACATACTCTTTGGCGAGCTTCCTAATGCCCCTCGTCCAGTAGGCTGCCCAAAGCTGCGGTATAAGGATGTAGTCAAGCGTGATCTACAGTCCTTTTCCATCAACTTGACTGACTGGGAGAGCGTTGCAGCCAACAGGTTGGGCTTGCGTAGTGTATTACACCAGGGGAGCAGCCTTGCCCATCAAACCTACATGGAAGAGTGCAACGCCAGACGCACTACCAGGCACCGTTGTGCTGATCGTCGTTGATCGACGTTAAAGGCCTATATATATATATATATATATATACCGTTAGCCACAACGACCCTTGCGTGTGCTTTGTGTGCATGTACGTACACACCGCATACACTTCCGCAAACAGTCGTACAGTACGTCGAGGCGGAGGATAGCTTTGGCGCAACCGCAAAGGCCCAATATGATAATTAGTACGCGCTATGGTAAATAGACTTCTCTCATTGGATAATGGCTGACAAAAAATGAATATTATTAATTGCATAATGCGACCAAAGGTTTATAAACCAGACGGCCCTGTGGTAACAATAATTATTGTAAAACCCCCTTGAAATTTCAAATAATAGTAGAATACTATTCATATAGTTAAACATAGTTCGGGTCGAAAATGAAATGAAAAAGGATGAAAAATTAGACTTTTACAAAACGGCAAACGGTACAAACCGCACGCCAGCAAAAATGATGTCACTGTGCACAGAGACCGCGCCGCCGGGGGCCGTCCACTGTAAGCCCGGCCTTGCGCTATGCGGAAAAACACGCTGCGCTTTCTCGGTCAGCGGCAAAAAAAAGCGCTCACACTACATGCATGAGTATCCGCTGACTTTTTGGGGTAATTCTACTTAGCTGTCAAGGGGATATGGGAAAAAATTATCTCTCCTTCAGCTAACTTAAGACTGACTTTAACTTGTATGAACGACTTATATCGTATCATGGAGGAATAAGAACAGTACGACTAATATATCGACATGGTACGACATATACACCTATATGTTGACAGAGTATGACTAATATACCGACAGGGTACGACATGTCGACAGGGTGTGACATATCAAACATATGGCATAATGTCGACAGGTGCCGAAATACGTACAAGTCGTGCGTACGCCAGATCCTATATGTCGAGTCGACAGTGTACGATATATGTCGCATATGACTTTGTCGTATAAGTACGACTCAATATTTCGTGTGTACAACATATGGAATTGTACTCGTCCGTTCGACTTGTTTGTCAATTATGTCGTACATACGACATATCTTGAGAGTACGACTTGTATCTCGTATGTACGACATATGTATTGTAACTGGTATGTATGACTTGTATGTCATACGACATAGGTACGATTTATTTGTTTTACCTACGACTTATATGTCGTACGTATGTCGTAGGTATGACATACAATTCGTACGTACGCATTAAAATACATATATGTCGTACGTATGAGATATATGTTGCACATGGTACGAATTTAGGGAGAGATTTTATTCACCAAGTCCCTATGACAGTTTCGTATATTCCATCCAAAAGTCAATAGCTTGTTTCTTGTACTTAATTCATACGGCTCAGTGTGACATGACTTTATATATACGAGTTAATCTTTATTCGATAAAATGTGTACGATTTGATTTGGGTTCGAGTTGACCTGTTCCCTACATTCGAGTTGACTTGTTCCCTACAGGTTCGGGTAGCGCGTGACAGAGGTGACAGCAAGTCATTTTTTGCAAGTCCAAGTCAAGTCATAAGTCATTGTTTGCAAGTCCAAGTCAAGTCACAAGTCATTAGGTCCAGTCACAAGTCAAGTCACAAGTCATTGGGTCCAGTCACAAGTCAAGTCACAAGTCATTAGGTCCAGTCACAAGTCAAGTCACAAGTCATTTGGTCTAAAAACAAGTCAAGTCACAAGTATCTTTGTCCAAGAAGACGTCAAGTTGGACATTATTTTGTCCAGCTGTAATAAGCTAAAAGAACCTGGCGTCAACTTACGAGTTATTTTGAACATGCCTCCTTAATTCCCCTTTTTCAATGTGTTGCAATTACTATTCTCTTAGTTTATCACATATCTGTCGGTTATTAGCCCTTTGTATACGTTAATAAATTTACTTTAAATTACATTGTAGAAATAAATGTTGAGATGACCGTGAAAAAAAAGGCTTCACTCACTCGATTACATGTAGTATACTAACACTTTATTGTTCAATTTTCATGTATACTAAACGCCTACCAATGGGTTTAAATAGGCTATCCGGTATTTTACATGCAATTGACAAAGGCCTGAACGGTTTCTTTTCATGAAAGGTTCCTTTCAAAGTTTGTTCAACCAATACATTAAGCAAGAGACAATTGGTCATTGAAAACTGTAGTTTGTTGTGACAGTCTTGTTGAAAACTTTTGAAACTAGTGGGAACTATTCATTTTACTGGATTCAGTCACTGAGGTCTATTTTCTGGAATGAAAAAGCTAATGAAAAGTATAATAGCTTAATTAAAGTGTATTGGGTCGCTCGAGTAGCGTCTGATTTGTGTTGGTAACAAGTCTTTTTTTGCAATCCCAAGTCAAGTCACAAGTCAATGTTTGCAAGTCCAAGTCAAGTCACAAGTCAAAGCTGGTATTAACAAGTCAAGTCACAAGTCACAAAAATAGCAACTCGAGTCCGACTCGAGTCCAAGTCACATGACTCGAGTCAGCAACTCTGGCGCGTGATGTACGCTGTTGCACCGGGAAATAAACGTCGACGGATATGAACTGTCTTGAACTTTCCAATACATTGGAAATAGTATCATCAATTTGAACAAGTGTTCATTCATTTAAAAGCGGCATATTTCATTTGTTTGGAATAAAACTGGAGAAATTGTTTAAAAATTGGTTTAAAATACTTGGACATTTATTTTTGAGTGAACATAATTATGTGGTTTTTACGGTAATTTGCAGGCTTCATGAATATGTATATCGCGGTTCAAAGTTTACGGGCTTTGATTGGATATCGTGAAATATAAGCGCATCAGAAATTCTCGGCCGAGTTTGGCCAAAAATATAAAGAAACACATAAGAAATTCGCCACAGTTGCGTCAAGGCTATCCTCCGTCTCGACTTACTGTACGGCTGTTCGCGGAAGTGTGCGTGTGGCGCACGTACATGCACACAAAGCACACACAAGGGTCGTTGAGGCTAACGGCATATAAAACTAGTGTGTCTCGGCGCGCGCGGTGTGTGTGGTAGCGGGAATAAGCTCGTATGGGAACAAGCTGCTGATAGCCTTGGTCAAGGCTATCAATCTGATGAAAGAAAGTGTGCAATTTCGGAAGCAGAATAAAATTATAAATATTATAGAAATCATAAAAAATCAACCGATGACGTCATCCTGACGTCACTTCGGACTTTGCATACTAGTACCATTATCTACCTGCCCACCAAGTTTCATGACGATCGGACCTTGCTTTATATTGTTTTTTGAAAAATTACATTTTGATGACGTCATGATGACGTCAAACACTTTTTAAAATTTTGTGTAAATACCTTTTACCTAACAAACCGAATACAGAAGTAATTTTGAATTTTGCATGCTGCGTTCGTAAGATATGGCTAAAAGGTCCAAATATTCAAATAAAACAAACACCCCAACACCCCAACAAACAAACAACCAAACGAACAAATAAACAAAAAATAAAGGAATACATTTAAAGGTAGATATGTTTGCAATGGATAGCCGCTACTTTGAGTATTTTCTGTTGCAGGATGCCAGGGGATAGCACACGCTACAAATTGGTTAGGGACCGGAACTTGTACCATTGAATGCTCTTCAGATTTGCAACATAGAGGTCTTCTAAGGTTGGACATCTTGTCAAGTTTGGTGGGTACTGATCGTCCAGCAATTTGGCCAGTTAGGCGTCCAGATCCTAAACTGTTGCCTAAGGCAAATATCAGGAAAACAACTGTCAACAGGAAAATAACTGTCAACAAAAAAAGCGGCACACTTTTATAAGAATCTTTTTTGACCATGACCTATAAAACTCTATGGACATCCATTTCAATTAAGTTGACGCGATATAAAAAGCATGATGACATGGCGGAGGATAATACCCCATAAAGTGTACGCTAAGTTATATGATCTGTTGACATGCATTTAACCACACGTTGCGCGTTTACGTGCTCGACCCAGATCTTTTGCAGCCTAATTGTACTTTCCATAATACATTTAAGTGTAATAATATTTCCCATTGTCAGGTTAACGTTGATGCACCTAATATGCCTCTTACTTGTTATGATTTTCAAAAAGAAAGAAAGAAAGGTTCATTGTTTTGAGGAGGATTTAAGTTATAATTGTACTTTTGGAACATAACATAAACAATTTATAAGGAAAAAATCATTATGCCTCCCGATAATTTTGCTCCAAAAATACAAAGAAAACTTGGTCGCCTATTTGGGGGCCGGAAGGGAATTTTCAATCTAGTTCCACAAGGATGGGTTTCGTACTTTTTCGCCTTTTTAGGAGCAATAATAGCTAATTTGTTTAATTCACGTTGGTGATGCTTACGATAGGAGGTTGATACGCTGGGGATATATTTCCCCTTACTGATCTAGCTTAGATCTACCCACGGAAAAACTGTACATTCAGTGATCTTAAATTTGGGGTTTTGGAGACGGCGTGGACGTATATCTGTCGACCATACAGCTTTCACAAGATGACTCGTCAGAACGTCTGCCCAAGCGATCCGCCACTGGTTGTCGACATTTCATGTTTTCACAGCCGTCCAAGGTTTCCAGAGCATGAATCTCTTAGCGTTTTAGGCCTAGGCCTACTTGGACTTATCCTACTTGAATCAAGGCCCGTCATAGGTTTACGGACACCAAAGTCCAGGCGACAAATCAACGGTCTGTCCCGGCCGAGTCCGGGCGGCGAATCCCCGCCCAGCTTTCAATCCGCCCTGGTGCAGCTGGTGGCTGGCACGTAAAGGCGCTTATGGCTGCCGGCCACATCGACCCATTTATGACCACGGAGCACAGCCTGATATCGAAAGTGTTTGATTTTTCCGGAGGGAGGAAAACCGGAGGGTACGGGTCGGGAGAAAACCCTCGTGGCAAAGGAGAGAACCAACGCACAACTCTACTCACATGTGATCCGCGGCCAGGATTTCAACCGTGGTAACCTTGGTGAGAGGCGAGCGCTTTACGCACAAGCCACCCATGCCACCCAGTATAGACATTGCATATTTTAGAATGGTTCTTATATTTTTTTGTTTTA